TCTGTGACCCCTGAGCCAGCTCCCTACCCGAGGGGACCAGCATTTCCTGCAGGACACCCATGTCATCAAAGCTAGGGACAATGAGGACTGACCTAGGTTTCAGTCTGTCCTTGTAGATTTCAGCTCTTGCTCATGGGTTCCAAATTGCTCTTGCTCTTCCCTACTTTACATCCATCTTCTGTTCTCAGCGACCTGCCCTGCAGACTCAGGCTCCAGCATCAGACACAGAGACCCGGCATTATGCAGATTTTCTAACCAGATCTCACCATTGTGGAGTATCCTAGCTCTGACAAGTCTCTTAAAACCCACGTGTGGCCGGGTGTGGTGGCTCATGCCTGTAATTCTAGCACTTTGGGAGGCTGAGATGATTGGATCTCTTAAGCCCAGGTGTTTGACACCAGCTTGGGGCAACATGGTGAAACCGTGTCTCTACAAAAGATACAAAAATTAGCCAGGCATGGTGGCACATGCCTGTAGTCCCAGCTATTCGGGAGGCTGAGGTGGGAGAGTCACTTGAGGCCTGGAATTGAAGGCTGCAGTGAGCTGTGATTTTGCCCCTGGACTCCAACCTGGGCAACAGAGCAAGACTCTATTAAAAAAAAAAATTTTTTTTTAAGTAAAAAAACAAAACAAAACCAGGAATGGTAGGCAATGCAGGAATAGTAACGGAAGGAAGCCACCACAGTAAGACTGGTGGGACACAAGGAGATGTGGCCAGAGCTCAGGGCCAGGGTCGGGTCAGGTGGCTCACACTCGTAATCCCAGTGCTTTGGGAGGCTGAGGCAGAAGGATTACTTGAGGTCAGGAGATTGAAATTGGCTTGGGAAACATAGCAAGACCCTGCCTCTACAAAAAATGAAAAATTACCTGGACATGATGGCACGTGCCTGTGGTACCAGCTACTCAGGAGGCTGAGGTGGGAGAATTGCTGGAGCCCAGGAGGTTGAGGCTGCAGTGAGCTATGATTGCGCCACTGCCCTCCATCCTGGGTGATAGAGTGAGACCCTGTCTCAAAAACAAACCCCTTCCTGCCAAAAAAAGGCACCTGGAGGAAGCCTGTGCAGCCATTTCAGCCAAACATGCTACTGGGGCTGGTGCCCAAGACAAAGAGGGGAGAGGTACCCCAGCTTCTCCTCCTGCCTTCCAGCCCCCGCCAGTGCCTTCCATTGACGGAGCTCAGCAGGAAGCCTGGAAAGCTCAGTCTGCGTGTCCGTCACCCTGGGAAACGGAGCAGAGCAGGCGGAAGGGTAAAGAGGGGATCGGGTGTCATTCAGGCAGATGACAAGTACGCTAAATATTCACCCACTCAATACATATTTATTGAGTGCCGGGAACTGTGTTAAGTGCTGAGGCTATAGCCTTGATCAAAACAATGTCCCGTGGTTGGAGACTGGAACTGTTTTAGGATGCCAATGAGAAGCCTAAGCCACAGGAAGACACAGGGTCTCAACCACATGTCATAGCAATTGCTTACATTTAACATTTCCCTAACCAGAAAACATGCTGGCGTCGGCAGATGCTAAGTTAACCAAACCGAAGTACAATACACTTAATTTAACAGCTCTCCAGAAAGAAACACATGAATTTGGCAGCTGCTTCAAAGATGCTCACAAGTTTGAAACACCCTTTCTACTGCCTCACGGCTCTATGAAGTACTTGCAGTTTTGGAGTTAGAGTTCATCTAACTTCTTTGATATAATTACATTTCTAGGACTTTTTTGTTTTTTTTTTTGGACCCAGACTGGAGTGCAATGACGTGATCTCAGCTCACACAACCTCCGCCTCCTGGGTTCAGGCAATTCTCCTGCCTCAGCCTTCTGAGTAGCTGGGATTATAGGTATGCGCCACCATGCCCAGCTAATTTTTTGTATTTTTAGTAAAGACAGGGTTTCACCATGTTAACCAGGATGGTCTCAATCTCTTGACCTCATGATCCACCTGCTTCGGCCTCCCAAAGTGCTGGGAATACAGGCGTGAGCCACCGTGCCTGGCCCACTTTTTTTTTTTTTTTTTTTTTGAGACAGAGTCTCGATCTGTTGCCCAGGCTGGAATGCAGTCGCAAGATCTTGGCTCACTGCAACCTTCACCTCCTGATTCTCCTGCCTCAGCCTCCTGAGTAGCTGGGATTACAAGTGCTACCTCCACGCCCAGGTAATCTCCAACTCCTGACCTCAAGTGCTCTGCCCACCTTGACCTCCCAAAGTGCTGAGATTACAGGCGTGAGCCACTGTGGCCGACTACATATATATATATTTAGGGACAGGTTCTTGCTGTGTTGTTCAGGCTGGTCTCTCCCTTTTTTTTTTTTTGAGACTCCATCTTAAAAAAAAAAAAAAGGGTAAAGAGGAGATCGGATCTCGGCTACTGTCACCCAGGCTGGCGCGATCTCGGCTCATTGCAACTTCCGCCTCCTGGGTTCAGTCGATTCTCCTGCCTCAGCCTCCTGAGTAGCTGGAATTACAGGCACGGGCCACCAAGCCCAGCTAATTTTTGTATTTTTAGTAGAGACAGGGTTTCACCATGTTGGCCAGGATGGTCTCAAACTGTTGACCACCTGCCTCGGCCTCCCAAAGTGCTGGGATTACAAGCCTGAGCCACCATCCCCGCCATTGTTTTTTGTGTACAAGTTTTTGTGTGGACATAATGTTTCATTTCTCTTGGTACTACACCCATGAGCGAATTGCTGGGTCATATGGTAACTCTGTGTTTCCTATTTTGAGAAACTGCCAAACTGTCTTCCAAAGTGGCTGCACCATTTCTCATTCCCATCGGTGATAAATGAGGGTCTTAATTTCTCCACATCTTTGACATTTATGATTGTCTTTTTAATTTTAGCCATTCTAGTGGGTGAGAAGTGGTATCTCACTCTGATCTGATTTGCATTTCTGTAATAATTAATTATGTTGAACTCAGTGTATCTTTGTTAAATGCAGTCCAGATTAAATAGCCACATCAAAATTTTTATATTATTAATTTGAACAATTAATAACAAGTACCAGCTCAGCTGGGGAGACCCCCACCCAGGCGGCGCTGAAGGCAATGAGAGGCAGAGGCCCAGATAGAATAGCAGAGTAGGTCTATCCAGGGGCCAGCAGCCTGTCGAGCTGAGAGCCTCAGGGGCTGCCAGCATTCCAGGCTGAAGGCCCCCAGCAGATTCTGATCCACATACTTAGTCTCTCTTAGCAGATGATTGTTATTAATAAACAGGTGTTCTGTATTTAGTCACAATGCAAAAATATTCCACATAGGCAGCTGTTACCCGCTTACCACTAATTGCAAACTAAAAGGTATTCTCCACAAGGGAGCCATGGGGGCAGGGTAAACTTCATGTTTCTCAACAAATTAATACTTTAGTTATTCTCTGGTTACAAAAGTAGTATATGCTGAAATGATTATTCCTCAAATCAGGATAATCATTTGAGGGGCAGAGAGAGAAAGCCAGGATTGGAGAAGAAAGACATGGGTCATTTAGAGTGATGGCATGGCCGGGCATAGTGGCTCATGCCTGCAATCCCAGCACCTTGGGAGGCCAAGGTGGGTGGATCACTTGAGGTCAGGAGTTTGAGACCAGCCTAGCCAATATGGTGAAACACCGTCTCTACAAAAATACAAAAATTAGCTGGGCATGGTGGTAGGCACCTGTAATCTCAGCTTCTTGGGAGACCGAGCAGAAGAGTCCTTTGAACCCAAGAGGCAGAGGTTGCAATGAGCTGAGATCACGCCACTGCACTCCAGCCTGGGCAACATGAGCAAAACTCCATCAAAAAAAAAAAAAAAAAGAACAATGGCAATGTCTTATTCTTGACCTAAGTCATAGTTACATGGGTTGACTTTGTAATTATTACTTAAATTACATCAGTACACTTTGTGCACTTGTTTGTATGCCTATTCTATGTCACAATGAAAAGATTATTACCATTTCACATTATTACTGTTGAAAATTTGGAAAGCAAATGTTTTGCCTGATTAAAGATGAATAAGGATAAATGTTTTCAACATCTGATCATATCAGTGAGTTTTTCTTTGAGTGGTACATTTTCAAATTGTGAGGAAAATGGAAAAATAGTATTGGTTAATATATCTTTGTTGAACAAACCTTTTGCCTTTTGTTGGATAAAACAAATTTCAAGATGTTGCCAGCAGGTGGCGGAATAAAACAAGATTTAATCTTGTAGCCCAAAAAGCAAATCAAAACAAAAACGTAAGCAGCAGCCAGCCCTTTACCTAGTCTTTGGAAAGCATTTCTTGTAAATTTCCCAGCCGTATCTGCCATAATAGAAAATAACTTGGTAAATAGGGCCCATGGAGAACTTTCATTTTATTTTTTTGAGACAGATCTTACTGTTGCCCATGCAGTGGCCTGATCTCGGCTCATCGCAACCTCTGCCTCTTGGGTTCAAAGGACTCTTCTGCTCAGCCTCCCACGTAGCCAAGATTACAGGCACCCACCACCACGCCCAGCTAATTTTTGTATTTTTGTAGAGAGGGTGTTTCACCATATTGTATAGGCTGGTCTCAAACTCCTGACCTCAAGTGATCCTCCTACCTTGGCCTCCCAAGGTGCTGGGATTACAGGCATGAGCCACCGCGCCCAGCCTTAAAGGGGTAATTTTTATGGCATGTAAATGATATATTAGTAAAGGTGTTTTCTGTTTTGTTTTTTGAGACAGAATCTTGCTGTGTCGCCCAGACTGGATGGAGTGCAGTGGCGCCATCTTGGTTCATGGCAATCTCTGCCTCCTGGGTTCAAGCAAGTCTCCTGTTTCAACCTCTGAAGTAACTGGAATTACAGGCATGTGCTATCACGCCTGGCTAATTGTTGTATTTTTAGTAGAGATGGGGTTTCACCATGTTGGCCAGGCTGGTCTTGAACTTCTGACCTCAAGTGATCCAACTGCCTCAGCCTCTCAAAGTGCTAGGATTATAAGCATGAGCCACCACACCTTTCCAAAACATTTATTTTATTTTATTTTGGGGGGAATACCAAATTTCTTTATTTGAACAAATGGTACAAAGAACTTAGGTGGATGTTTTGGTACAACTTATAGAAAAGGTAAAGGAAACCCCAACATGCATGCACTGCCTTGGTGACCAGGGAAGTCACCCCGGGGCTATGGGGAAATCAGCCTAAGGCTTAGCTTTCATTATCACTGTCTCCCAGGGTGTGCTTGTCAAAGAGATATTCTGCCCAGCCAGACTGGGATGCTCCCATCTTGCGCAAGTTGGTCACGTGGTCACCCAATTCTTTGATGGATTTCACCTGCTCATTCAGGTAGTGCGTCTCAATGAAGTCACACGAATGGGGGTCATGTTTGTCAGTGGCCAGTTTGTGCAGTTCCAGTAGTGACTGATTCACATTTTTTCCCAAAGATAATGCACTCTCCATGGCATTCAGCCTGCTCTCCCAGTCATCATGCTCTGGTTTCCTGATATCCCGGAGGAAGATGCGGCCACCTCGTTGGTTCTGCAGCTTCATCAGTTTCTCGGCATGTTCCCTCTCCTCATGAGATTGGTGAAGAAAGTACCTGGCAAAGTTCCTCAAAGCCGCATCATCGCGGTCAAGGTAGCAAGACATGGACAGGTAGACGACGTAGAGCTGCAGGTTGATCTGGCGGTTGATGGCGGCCTCTTGAGTCATGGTAGTAGTTCTGGTGCACCTGTGAGGGGGACGCGGTCGTCATGGCGGTGGCTAAGGAGAGGCGAGGGTAGCAGTGGCTGTGCAGCGCTGCAGCGGCGGCGGGGGCCTTGGGGCGGTCCGAGGGCCCAGCGCGGTGTGGAGGTGACAGGAGGGCTGGCTATGGGCGGCCGGCCAGGGTTGGGGACAAGTGCCGGGTTCCGTCCAAGCACTGCTGAAGCAGGAAACCGTGGCGATTCTCAGCAAAGAACGTCTCTGAAACATTTGTTTTTAAGAAAACACAAATACCTAGTGCTGACATTATGCCAGGCACTTTGCCTGCCTATGTTATTATATTTCATCTTCGGAACTATCCCACAAGGAGGAGTTAATGTCTTTCTTACAGGGGCAGGTAAATCAAGAATTCTCCTGCAAGCACTAAAACTGGGATTTCTTTTTTTCTTTTTTGCCCAGGCTGGAGTGCAGTGGCATGATTTTGGCTCACTGCAACCTCCACCTCCTGGGTTCAAGTGATTCTCCTGCCTCAGCCTTCCAGGTAGCTGCGACTACAGTCACATGCCACTAAGTCCAGCTAATTTTTTTTTTTTTTTTTTCTGAGACAGAGTTTCACTGTTGTTACCCAGACTGGAGTGCAATGGCACATCTCGGCTCACCGCAACCTCTGCCTTCTGGGTTCAAGCAATTCTCCTGCCTCAGCCTCCCGAGTAGCTGGGACTACAGGCGCACACCACCATGCCCAGCTAATTTTTGTAGAGACGGGGTTTCACCATGTTGACCAGGATGGTCTCGATCTCTTGACCTCGTGATCCACCCGCCTTGGCCTCCCAAAATGCTGGGATTATAGGCGTGAGCCAGTGCGCCCAGCCCTAAGTTTTGTATTGTTAGTAGAGATGGGGTTTCACCATGTTGACCAGGCTAGTCTCAAACTCCTGATTTCAGGTAATCTACCTGCCTTGGCCTCCTGAAGTGCTGGTATTACAGGCGTGAGCCACCATGCCTGGCCTAGGGCTGGAATTTGAACTCAAGTCTGCCTTCCTTAGCTAAGCAAATCACATAGACTCTGTCCAATCTGAACTTACTCCTCCGGATGCATATCGCTACAGAAGGACATAAAGGACATTTTGATATTTGAACAGTTAACATTAATCAAATGAAATTTATTAGATAATACCTGCTTTTTACATTATAAACCTGTGATGGACAAGTTAGTGGTTTTAAATTTCTACTAAACACCTGAACAACCTTGCAATAAAAATTCCATTAATTTACATGATAAACCATTTATGTTACACTAAATTTACCCAATTTTTTGCAGGACACATGAATTATCATATAACTTTTCTTTTTTTTTTTTTTGAGACAAGGTCTCACTCTGTTACCCAGACTGGAGTGCAGTGGCACTGTCTTGGCCCACTGCAACCTTTACCTCCCACTTTCAGGTGATTCTCCTGCCTCAGCCTCCCAAGTAGCTGGAACTACAAGCATGCACCACCATGCCCAGGTAGTATTTTTTGTAGGGACAGGGTTTTGCCATGTTGCCCAAGATGTTCTCAAACCCCTGGGCTCAAGCGATCCTCCTGCCTGGCCTCCCAAAGTGCTGGGATAAGCTGATCATGTGACTTTAATCAGTTGTACACATTATTTTTGGTCCTGCTTTTTTTTTTAAACATGACTTATTGTAGCTGTTTACAGGTATTCATTTAATTCCCATAATTATCATTTTAACAGCTGTATGGCATGACGTGATATAGACTAAAGTTCAGCAAACTGTTTTCCTATTGTGGGTATTGAGGATTTAGCCATTGTGTGGCTGATCTGAAAATGCCGCTGTCAACATCTTTGGACAAATTTTTTGCTATAATTTTTGGGACTATTTTGAGCAAGGGCATTTGTTGGAAATAGAAGAAGGAAAAGTCCAAGGAATTTTAGCTTCTCTTTGGACATGTGCCCTTGTTTTTAGAATTGGCTCTTGGCATTTTGCATCGCATGAGTAGCACAGCTGCTATTAATGGTAGTTACATGATCTTGGGTAAATTCCTTCACCTCTCTGCACCTTAGACTCTAGCACTGGCTGGTAAATTGTAGAATTGCAGGATCCTGGGCCTCTCCTAGAACCTATTGAATCAGAATCTGGATTTTAGCAAGATGCCCAGGTGGTGATTCATGGGCACAATAAAAGTCAGAGAGGCTGGGCACAGTGCCTCACACCTGCAATCCTAGCACTTTGAGAGGCTGAGATGGGAGGATCACTTGAGCCAGGAGTTTGAGACTAGCCTGGGCAACATAGCGAGACCCTGTCTCTACAAAAAGTAAAAGAGTCAGCCAGGTATGGTGGCTGTACCTGTAGTACATGGCGCACCTGTAGTCCCAGCTACTAGGGAGGCTGAGGGGAGAGGATTGCTCAAGTCTGGATGGTGGAGGCTGCAGTGAGCCGTGATCATACCACTGCACTCCAACTTGGATGACAGAGAGACCTTGTTTCAAAAAAAAAAAAAAAGAAAGAAAAAAGAAAAAAAAACAGGGTCGGGCGCCGTGGCTCATGTCTATAATCTCAGCACTTTGGGAGGCAGAGGCAGGTGGATCACGAGGTCAAGAGATCAAGACCATCCTGGTCAACATGGTGAAACCCCGTCTCTACTAAAAATACAAAAAATTAGCTGGGCATGGTGGCGCGTGCCTGTAATCCCAGCTACTCAGGAGGCTGAGGCAGGAGGATTGCCTGAACCCAGGAGGCAGAGATTGCGGTGAGCCGAGATCGCGCCATTGCACTCCAGCCTGGGTAAGAAGAGCGAAACTCCGTCTCAAAATAAATAAATAAATAAAGTGCTTTGGGCAAGAACTGGGACAGGGCAGCAGCCTAGTCAAACCTGATACCTGGCACCTGAGTGGCTGCTCAGATCGGGGTGGCTGGCTGGTGCCATCTCCAGAGGGGCTCCTGAATAATGCACGTGGAATCGTGACCCAACAGAGAGAAGCGTCCCTCAGATTTGCAACCTGACCACCTGGCTGGCCTTTCCATGGCACTTGCCTGGATCTCCCTGGAAGGCAGGGCCAACCTCCCCTACCCAGAGGCAGCTTGGGGCTGAAGGACCTGTTTAGATTGCAAGCTGTAAGCAGAAGTGAAGGGTTATCTGCTTCCCAAATCCTCTGCTTGCTAACATTATATTCTTCCTTCAAGGCCCTGTGTTTTCATAGTCCCAGTGAAATGAACCATTTTCTGTTTTTTCTTTCTTTCTTTTTTTTTTTTTTGAGACGGAGTTTTGCTCTTGTCACCCAGGCTGGAGTGCAATGACACAATCCCGGCTCACCACAACCTCCGCCTCCCGGGTTCAAGCAATTCTCCTGCCTCAGCCTCCCAACAAGCTGGGATTACAGGTATGTGACACCACGCCCAGCTAATTTTGCATTTTTCTTTTCTTTTCTTTTTTAACTGTAGAGGGGAGTATCATTGACTGACATAATTTTGCATTTTTAGCAGAGATTTGGTTTCTCCATGTTGGTCAGGCTGGTCTCAAACTCCTGACCTCAGGTGATCTGCCCACCTCACCCTCCCAAAGTGCTGGGATTACAGGTGTGAGCCACCTCACCTGGCCCTTTTTCTGTTTTTTCACCATTCAAGTGATTTAGCTGGTTTTAGAATCTTCACAACATTGGTTCATTCTCTTCATGACATATTGTATTGGGAGTCTTAAATGTCTCCAGAGACCAGCAGGTAACATAAACCCACGATGGAGGCCTGCGCAAGACTACTGGGAATGGTGGGGACTGCAGCAAGAGGCAGGGTCCATGAAATGGCACTAGCTGTTCCTGTGTTCCAGGCAATCCCCATGCAGTGTGATGAGATCTTCCCCCTTTTTTTTTTTCTGAGATGGAGTTTTGCTCTTGTTGCCCAGGCTGGAGTGCAATGGTGTGATCTTGGCTCACCATAACTTCCACCTCCCAGTTTCAGGTGATTCTCCTGATTCAGCCTCCCGAGTAGCTGGGATTACAGGCATGTGCCACCATGCCCAGCTAATTTTGTATTTTTAGTAGAGATGGGGTTGCCCCATGTTGGTCAGGCTGGTCTCGAACTCCTGCCCTCAGGTTGTCCACCCACCTTGGCCTCCCAAAGTGCTGGGATTATAGGCATGAGCCACTGTGCCTGGCCAGAGCTTCCCATTTTTCAAAAGAAAGTACTAGGAAAGAGGAATTTTTAGGGTTACCAAATATAGGAGAAGTAGAAAGAGGAGGAGAAAAAAATGCAGAGAAAGAGAAAGAGAAAGAGAACCCAACAAGGTAAAATCCACAATGTCTAACATTCAATCAACGATAAACAGGCAAACATGCTGGAAATTGCCACTACCAAAGAGGGCAAAAATACATCAACTGAAACCAATCCGAAAGTGACAGATATGAGAAGTAGTTTATAAGGATATTAAGACAGTTATTGAAACTGTATTTCATATGTTTACAAGGTTAGGTAGAGATATAGAAGATGCAAAGACAAAAAAAATTTCTAGTGATGAAAACTACAACATGTGAGATAAAAGATACCTTGGATGGGATTAACAGCAGATTAGACATTACAGTAGAAAAGATTAGTGACCTGGAAGATGTGATGCCAGAAACTGTCCATTTTAAGTGTGTTATTACATGACTGTATTTGCCTGTTAAAACTCATAAAATTGTATTCCCAAAAGAATAAATTTGGAAGAGACAACACCTTCAGTCCACACCAGTGAATAATGTTTCTTTCTGGTTTGCAAAAAATTGAAAAAAAAAAAAAAAGAATGAGTTTTACTTCTTGTCAGTTATACTTTACTAAAGCTGACAGAAAAAAAAAAAACTCTTTGGTATATGATGCTTGGAATTTACTTCAAAATAATATAAAGGCAGGAAAATGGGTGGGAACATAAATGAAACAAAGTTGGTCATGAGTTGAAACTGAATATTAGATATTATTCTCTCTACTTTTTAATTTCTCCAAAGTTTTCTTTGTAAAAGTAAGATAAATAAATAAATAAATAAATAAATATTTCAAGTTGGATTTTTTTTTTTTTTTTTGGAGAATTAAAATTTGGGTTTTATTGATTGCAAAGAGCCAAGACAGGATACTCCCCGTTTAGCTAATAATGGTTCACTGGGGGAAAAAAGAAAAAAATTAAAGTGACTGGGTATAATG